ATACATGCAGGTGTGTCCTACTTTAAATATACATTGAATGAAAAGGAATAATGAACTATTCCAAGCATCTTGTCACATTTGCTAACCTAAAACCTTCCAAATAATGCAAATGGGGCTGACCAGACTGCACGAGGGTTTCAACTTTTCAGAAGAATGGAAAAAACTTCAGATTTTATGAGATTGGAATTTCTTTTGCCACAGCCATATGGTAATGTATAATGTGATATAGAAATTGTACAACAATGTTGTTTAACACCTCTCATCATGAATTTTTTTGTTACATTCTCTCCATTGCTGCAAAACAAGGATTATGAACATACATATAAATTTAGGAATAGAAATAGGCCATTTGACTCCTCGAGCTTGCTCCAGCATTTGGTTATGTAGCCATGACGTGGAGGTGCTGGTGTTTTGGACTGGGAGGACAAAGTCAGAAGTCACACAATGCCAGGTTATAGTCCAGCAGGTTTATTTGACATCACAAGCTTTTGGAGTGCTGCTCCTTCTTCAAGTAAAGTTAACTACCTAACTTGTCACGATGCTCAACACTTATGAGACAGCTGCCACTTCATCTGATGAAAGAGCAGCACTCTGAAGGCTTGTGATTTCAAATAAACCTGTTGGACCATATCCTGGTGTCGTATGACCTCCACTCCACATTCCTGCCTTTGACTCCCTTGTGAATTGTATCATTGTTGGTCTTGTAGAATGCAGGCCCTCATCAGATCTATTTAAATACTGATGATACGATGGAGTTACTTGTACAGTTTTGATTTAGTCACAGCACGTAAGCAGTTTCTGCAGTCAAATAATGTTGCAAGATGGCTGGTTGCTTGCTTAGGGTGTGTGTAATGTGACTTGTTTGTACATAGATTTGAACAATCCAGGAAATTTCAGTGACATTTACATAAGATAGAAAAAAAATTATTCTTGAAGAGAACCTGTCCTATCAGAATATATGGTCATAAAACAATGTCTAGTACAGTGAAGGAAAATGGTAATAAATCCCTGGGCCAACCACAGCAAATTACATAAAGTAAAACACATAGCATTTTAATTAGTTTAAAATTCCTGGAAGAAAAGAAACCTGTAATAATTTTACTACTTGACCACAATATTAAAAATCTAAGAAGACAAGACTTATTTAGAACTTATTTACAAGCATTAGTTTATCTTTATTTTATGAATTGGGTCGGATGGCTCTAACCTCTTCTTGTGAGGTTCTACACTTAAATTTGCTCCCCAGTCTAGTGAATCAAAAAATTGGAGAGAATGCACTAAAAATTCTTATTATCAACACAATAATCAGGCATTTTTTATGAATGGTCCTTTAATTGAAAAGACCAATACATTGGCTAGTTAACCCATCACAATGCTCAACACTTGAGACAGATAGACTTGTCTTGCAACCTATTTTCCTCCACCCTTCCCTTTTTTGTTCCCCCCCCTTCGCAAAAAACCCCAGAGCAGATAGAGATGACAGTGTGGGGCTGGAGGAACACAGCAGGTCAGGCAGCAACAGAGGCATCTGATGCTGCCTGACCTGTGTTATCTCTGATTCCAGCATCAGCAGCTCTTACTATCCCAGAGCAGGTAGTCTTTTTCTTACTCCCGTTCACCAATCTGCCCCCAAACTTGTCACCACCTATCCAATTGATAGTAGATGTGTTGGTTTCTTGATGGTTCTGCTGTTAAACTACTGAATGTGTCAAAATATTGGTAGATTAAAAAAAATAGAGCACTTCATCATGGATTGTTTCCTTTGTATGTATCTGTACTGCCGTCTGGCTTGAGTACACTGTATCCTTATACAGAAGGATATACTCTTTCTCCATGATTAGCTAACATTAAGTGTAATTGAAGTCTGTAATGGAAATGTTGGCTTAGATTTGCAGAGGGAGGGAATCAGCTTTTCACATCAGATATGTAATCTCCTTGCCCTTCAGACTTGACTTGTATTTTTTCTTCTTCTCTTCTGGTCCCCAGTGGCAGTCCTGTATACAAAATAAATGGTGATGTTTAGCATGTTATAACTGACATGTCATTATTCTGCAGGTTATGAATGTAAAGTGGAATTCTGCTCATTTATTGGAAAAACCTGGACAGAGTTACTTAGTCACACACGGGAGCATCACAGAGGTAACCAAGGAAATGAGAATTAGTTGCAAAGTAATTGAATAGTGTTGATGTTCTTGAAACAAACGCTATTGTTTAACAGGTATTGTGACTGCCACTTTTCTTAGTTTCAGCTTTAAGTTGTATTTAATTTTTACTTAAATTTCTCTGCATGTTCCTTCAGTTCTCCATACACCTTGCATATGCCAGCACTTAACTAAAAATGCATGAAATTTTACATCAGTTTTTAAAACTAAAATTATCTTCACTTTTGAATGCAAGTACTCCATTACACCATCCCAATTTGTCAGTGCCCATCATCTATTCTGGTGATGCTACTTTGTGCCTCTGACATGTCCTTATTTTATCAACTGAAGGTTCCTTCCTACACATACACACACTTTTTCTCTCTCTCCCCTGCCCTGCCCCGACCCACCACACACACACACACACCTCTCTTCCCGCACCCCCCCCCCCCCACCAACACCCACACCCACACCCACACCATCTCCAGCTTATTTCCTGCAATTTTTTTGTCCTCACCACTTTCTCCATCCCAGAATAACTGAAGGGCTTTCTCACTTTCCACCCACCAGATTCTACATTCATAGGATCATCATCATCATCATCTACCATTACTGCTACCTCCAGCAGGATGCTAAGACTAAACACCTCTTTCCCCTCCCTTGTCAGCATTCTATAGCAACTGTTCCCTCTGTGACACTTTTTTTTTGCACACAACATTGCACTCCCACATGTAATCACAGAAGGTGCAACACTTGCCCTTTTATCTTGTCTCTCCTCATCGTCTAAGGCCCCATATGTCCCTTCCGGGTGAAGCAGCAGTTTACTTGTACATCCTTCAATCTAGTCCACTGTATTTGCTGCCCACACAATGGTTTCTCTTTACTCAGAGACCAAACGGACTGGGTGACTGCTTTGTGGAACAACTTCACTCTAAGAATGACCATGACCTTCACATGGTTTTCTATTTTAATACACCAATGGTTGTCGCGCTAAACTTCTGTCCTGGGTTTGCTGGAGGAACAGCACCTTACTTTCCACATTACGATCCTTACAACTCAACATTGAGTTCAACAACTTCAAAGTCTAAATGCAATTTTGATTATATAATGCCCATAATTTCTTGAAGACATGAGTTTGCTCTGAGCAAAGCTGACCTATTTTCTACAATTCACACACAGTATTACCATCTGTATAATTTCTCTACTATCATTAACACCTTTTGGTCTTCTGTTCTCGGCATTCTCACTATCTGTACCACTTGCTCCTCTTTGCATTTTGTCAAGTGTATCGTCATTGTTTTTCAGTTTTGAAAGTCATGTTGGCCTCTGTTAACTCTTTCTCTCTTTCACAGATGCTGCCAAACCTGCTGAGCTTCTCTAGCATTTGTTTTTATTTCAAATCTTCAGCATCTGAATACTTTTGATTTTATAAGATTATGAAATTCTTTAAGATTAAAGGAAAATAACTTTTGCAGTTTCTGAATTCTCATTGAACTATCATGAGTCCTAACTAAATCTGCAGAAAACTGCTGTGGACTAGTTATTAACTTTGTTTGCTGTTAACATATTTCATTTTGTTCAATAGTGGAAATTCAGTATGATTGGGAACCTCTTAATATTTTGAATTTTTATTTAGAAGACTTCGTTTGTAACCAATGCAATAAGAAGTTCAAACGCAAAGCCTTTTTACAAGCACACCTTAAAACTCATGCTCAAGTGAGGGAAGTCTTCAGATGTCCCAGGAAAGACTGCGAGAGAACTTACACAACGTCATTTAATTTGCACAGCCATATTCTATCATTTCATGAGCGACAACGAAATTTTGTTTGTGGGTATCCTGGCTGTGGGAAAGACTTTTCTATGAACGTAAGCTTCATTTTGTTACAAATTATAAAGATGAGTTTTAGCAAGAAGCCCTTTTATTGAGAATAAACTAACTTGATTCCTGTCTAGATATTTTTTGTGTGAACATTTGTGCTTTTCATTTAAAGAAAGATGAATTGAATCATTTAAGATCCAGTTCCCTACATCTGCGAAGTATAGCATATAGTGACATAAATCTCTAGCTGAATACACTAACAATGACTAGTGATTTATGGACGAAAGTTTTAAAGTTGTAAACAAAATGTGCTTTAAAGAGATCAATACAAATGTTTAAAATATTACCTTCTATTTCTGTTGCAGCAAAGTTTGGAACGTCACTCTGTTGTTCATGATCCTAAAAAACAGAAATTAAAGGTACTGTATCAAATATTTGGAGTTTTGAGTTTATATTACAGGTCAGTTAAATATTCCATAAAATTACTTGTACAGTGATAAACTTTGCTTTACAACAAATTATTTTATCGTTCCTGCAGGTGTTTGAGTAGAAGGAGGAATTTGCATTGTAACTGTGAAAGAGCCATCAATAATATTTGTAAATCTCAAACCATTAAGATTTCCAGTTCTCAGCATTTTTTAAACAATGCAGGAACTATGCCCGCAGGGGGTCTCTGTTCTTGTCTTTAAGAGTTAATGATATCACTAATTGTAGGACTTTTAGAACCAACAACACTGTTTAGTTTACTAATTCTCTAATCTTGACACAAATACTTGGCATTACTATTTTTCATGGATAACTTGTCAAAACTAAAACAGAGTACGGAAATGTACAGCAGATTAGATAGTAATAGGAAAGACAGGTCAACATTTAAATATTAAAACATTGATGGAAACATTAAATAAGTCATACCACATCAGTGAAGAAAGCGTTGAAGTTGGTGTTTATGACTTTTCTTTTAAAAAAAAATTATTGCAAAAATTGTTTTTCCTCCACAGTATAGCACAACCTATGTTTGTTTCCAGAATCTTCTATTACTATTTCAGATTTCCAACATCTCCACTATTTGCTTTTAATGTTTCAAATGATGGCCTTCATCAAAAGGATTTCATTTGCAAAGTTAACCAATCTTTCTTTACTAATTAGCTAGATGAGGTTGTTTAAATATTTTAGCATCCATTAATATTTTAATATCCTAGATATGCAAGGTAATTAGCACACTTTAACCTTGTTCCTGATGCAGTTTCCAAGAGCACAAATTTTATCTTGGGTGTTGAAAATCACCACCTGGTGGAAAAGGGATGCTAAACCTAAAAGTTCAAGAGGAATGAAGCAGCAGAAATCTAAGTGGATATCTGATGAAATGACCTTGCAGCTGTAGAGTTCTATTATATTGCTTACTGTTCTGGGGATTTCAGCTGAACATAAATTGACTTTTTGTATTTGGCCTGCAGGGCTCAGTAGTAAGTAACATTGTCTCAAGAGAGAAGTTCTTGGTTCTGTTATTTATGTTATATCATCTTTCCTGCAGGGAAAACGACCACGTCCTAAGCGTAGTCTTGCATCTCGTCTTGCTGGATATATCCCTTCCAAGAACCAGCCAGCTGCTGCTTCATGTATTTTAACTGAAATGCTTGAAAAGACTAAAATGTCTGTATTAGAAGAAAAAGATGAGCTAACTGAACCAGTGGTAGCCAATTAATACTATTTTAGGTAATGAGGCTAAATGTAGACTTTGAACTAATACTTCAATCCAGGTTCTCCACGGAAACATCAGCTTTTCCAATGTTGTAGCCTTCTACCCTGTTTAGACTTATGGTGGGTGCCTCGCCATATAGTAAGAAATGGAGTTACTCATACATTTTATTTTTGTACTTCAAGAACTCTTGTATATACAGAAGTTTACTACTGCCATTGTATAGTAAAACATACTCAGTCAAGTCAGTAAAAACTAAGGGTTTTTTCCCCTCCATTTTGACCATGCTGCCTCTATAATTGTAAGTCTGACTTTGATCTGTCAACTACACCCATTTAAGATATGGACAGTTGATTACTTCAAGTTTACATGGCAGATCCAATGATCAAAGAATGTTATCTAGTTTGTGTTAAATAAAGGATTCAGGAAATGTTTTCAATTCATTGTTAAATCTGTTATAAGTTTTTTAGTTATTAGTAATTGAAGTTTCAGTACTGTTTTGGAAACAGTGTACCTCTTGACATTGCAATTCCGTTTTCACCTTTTTGTGTGCTTTCATTTCTTTGTCAGACAGATGCCGTAGAATGCACATTGCTGCCTTCCCTTCTTTAATAATCTTTGGCTTAAACATGTACGTAGCTTTGTCAGGCATGGATTGAACAATTTGATCCAGCAATATTTCCTTTAAGAAATTAATAAATAAGAAAGCTTAACACCATTTCATGTCACTTAATTCAAATAATTAAGTCAAGCTTGATATTCTGACTAAATCAAATGGTACCACAACTAGGAAACATTATATCCATAATTTAATCTAAATTTCAATAATGTAATTTAGTAAGCCTCTTCTTTCCATACTCCTGTTTGAGTAATTTGGCCCATCGGTTAAATTGGTCTCTTTATGCACTGTAGGGGTTCTGTGAAGAAATTTAAAAACCATAATCCATCCATGCCTTTAGACTGCACTGCAGAGATAATAGCTGATGGAGAGAAATACCACAAAGCTTTTTAAGCACAATCGGATCAGCCACAACCTTGCAGAATGTTAAAGGAGAACCAAAAGACTGAACAGTCCACCTCCTAATTTGTATGTTCTTACAGAGCAGTAAGAATTTCCTTAGGTTACTCAAGACAAACAGTGGTCTGTGACAGAGAAACCCTGAAGAAACTTCCAGTAAGCCAGTTAAAAATCACTGTTGCAATTTTGAAATACCTTGATTGCAGTAACACTTCACATTACAAGAGATACCTTCTTTGAGATTGGCAATAGTCACCACAACTCCAAGGTCTTAATCATTGTTGACTGTAAAATTATAGTGCTTCTACAAACTTTAATAAATGTAGATAATACAACTTGTGCCAAAATCTAGCCATTAAGATTAGGGGGAAATGTTTGTTAATAAAACTTCCCAAGGTGCTTCATAAATAATGAAAGAAAACATACAGTGGCCCACATAATGGGTGAATTATATGTTTGGAAGCAAGGGGACTGAGTTCTTTTAATTATAGGAGAAGCCCCACATCACAGATTTTTTGAACGGGTGACAAAGAAGATTGATGTAGACAGAGTGGTAAACATCGATAAAATGCTTTGCTGAAGTCTGTATAAGGTTCTGCATGGTCGACTGGTTAGTAAGTTTCGATCATATGGGATGTAGGGAGAGCTAGCCAATTGAATACAAAATCAGTTTGAAGGTAGGAGACGAGGTGGCAGTAGAGGTTGTTTTTCAAACTGGAGGCCTGTGACCAGCTATGTGCCACAAGGAGCAGTGCTGGGCTGCTTTTCGTCATTTATTTGGATGTGAATATTGGAGGTATGGTAAGTAAGTTTGCAGATAACACCAAAAATTGGTGGTGTAGTGGATAGTGAAGATGATTATCTCCGAGTACAAGGCACCTTGTTTCGATGGGTCAAAGGGTGGCAGGTGGAGTTTAGTTTGGATGAATGATGCATTTTGGAAGGCAAACCAGGGCAGGACTTATACAGTTAAATGTAGGCCCTGGAGAGTTTTGCTGACCAAAGAGATCTGGGGGTGCATGTGAACAGTTTCTTGAAAGTAGAGTTGCAGGTAGACTGGGTGCTCAAGAAGGCATTTGGCACACTTGCCTTTGTTGGTCAGAATATTGAGTGTAGGAGTTGGGAGGTCATGTTGCAGCAGGACCGGACACTGGTAAGACCACTTTTGCAATACTATGTACAATTCTGGTTGCCCTTCTACCAGAAGGATGTTGTTAAACTTGAGTGCAGAAAAGATTTACAAGGATGTTGCTGGAATTGGAAGGTTTGAGATAATAGGGAGAGGTTGAATAGGCTAGTGCTTTTTTGTTTTGAGCATCAGAGGCCGAGGGGTGACCTTTATAGAAGTTTGTAAAATTATGAGGGGCAATGGATAGAGTGAATAGCCAAGATCTTTTTCCTAGGTGGGGGAGTCTAAAACTAGACAGCATAGGTTTATGGTGAGGGGAAAGATTTAGAAGACCTGAGGGGTAACATTTTCAGAGGGTGGTGTGTGTATGAAATGAGCTGCCAGTGGAAGTGGTGGGTACAATTACAACATTTAAAAATGCATCTGGATGGGTACATAAGTAGGAAGGGTTTAGAAGATTATCGGCTAAACGCTGGCAAATGGGACTAGATGAGATTGGGACATTATGTTCGGCAAGGATGATTTGGACTGACAGGTCTGTTTCCGTGCTGTATGACCCTCAGTCTCCTGGTGGCAGTAAAATACATTGGAATGTCGAAAGAGCTGACCCAGGACTCCTGGGCTTTGGAGGCAGCATGTTGTTTAGGATCATTAACAAGCCAATTTACATTAACATTAAGCTACTAACAATTTCATTTCAGCTCAGATAAAGTATGAACTACATAGCTATCCCACACCTCCTGATGGCTGCCCAACAAACTGTCTGTTTTTGGTCCAATTGTACAAGAGGGAGAAGGGCCAAATGTGCAATACCATGTCAAAATATCTTAAAATGGTCATGTTTATAATAATAAATAAAGGATGCTTCCATCTGAATTCCTTTAGGATGAAGTTCAATCATCAAATTATATTGTCAACAGCATAAAAATGGAGATTGATTGATTTACCAAATTTCAGTCTTTGTCAGGTCTTACCATCTTATCTGCTTTGTCCATTATGGCTCCTTTTCTAACAGTAATCCGAACATGGTGCTTCTTATCAATCCATTGCTGGATCTGCTTTATTTTTGTTTGCAGGTCGTGCTTTGCAATGTCTGCTGAGAATGTTTGCTCCTTGATTTGACAAGGTCCTGCGTTCAGAAAGCGATAAGTTTTTTTTTTTTTGTTTGCTTTCAGTGTGAGGATAGACCTCCACATTCAAAATCTGACTCTTAACCCCTCAGCCTCTCCAACTCCCCTCATCAACCCTACCACTTTAAACCAAGCTTCTGTTTACCCTATCATCTACTGTTGCCTTTGTTTTCAATTTTGGTTACACAACAAGGATTTTATATTAAGAATGCAATGTAAATAGACTTATCCACACAGATTCCACATTGTATCTAAACACCTTAACTATTTGAATATTTGTTTAGTTAGAACGTGACGTTCTGATCAGAAAGTGCTTGAGCCTGTAAAAGTTCAACTCTACGTAAAGTTGCCATAGTCCCAGAAGACCATAGGGCTGCTTTCTTATTAGAGACCCTGACTGGTCGTGAGTTTAATCTAAGGGTCACCACAACTCGGGTGAGAAGTGAGGATAAGAAGGTGGGACCTTCACGATGACCTCAGCTGGCGCAGGAATTGAACCTGTGTTATAGTGTCACTGCATCGCAAATCAGCCAACTGAGCTAACCAACCTCAAACTCTAATGTGTTAACTCCTACTGTAGCGCACAACTGTCTTTTGAACATTAGTAGAGAAATTAATGTTTTATTTAGAAAATGGTTTCAAATACTTCTCACTTGGTAAGAGTTTTTCATTAAACATTCTTAAATTCGCTTTTCACTTTTTACTTGTTTATAATGAAGTAATACTTTTAGATTTGTTTAATCATCTATGTTTTCAAGGTTGTATATTCTCTTTGCAAAAAGACCTGCCAGTAGTTGACATAAGATATTCAATGATTTCCAAATTTGATGCTATCTGCATTTTTTGACAGGGTTTTTTCATTAACGTTACAGTCTGTGATGTTGCAGTCTAAGCTCTGGCCACTGAGTGCTTTACCCAAGGCTGTAGGGACACAATTGCATTGTGAATTGTTTAGCCTCTGCTACCTAACCATGTGGGCATGGGGAAGCTGGCCATTAATTTATAAATCATTTTTCAAACATCTTTTGAGAGCTTTAAAAGCAATAGGAAAATTGGTATATAGTAGATATTCTTATAATACTTTGCTAATTATATGAAAATATAACTCTTTTCTCTTGCTTCACCGCCACCCCCCTCCTCAAAACATCAGCTCAACATGATTTCAGGACTATAGAAACTAAATTTTAATTTTTTTTATCCTTCTGTCAGATAGGGAAGAGAAGGAAGATTTCATTAAAATAGGCTAAATTTGAAAACCATTTCACTCGAGAACAAACTTATTCATCCACTCACCAGTGTTAGGTGCATTCTTTCTTTTTTCCCTGAGTTTCATTTGTTCATCGTGAATCTGTTTTCCTGTCATTAGTTTGTATACTGGAGGGTCAGCATTTTCCTTGAGAGGTACAGCCTTGACTCCACGCTCATCCATGATTCGAATAATATCAGCTCTATGCAAATTTCCCAGGTTCTCTCCATTTTCATCTATTACATGAATGATGCGGTGGTGAATCTTTCTTCCAATGCTCCCTATTGTTTTTCGTGCTCTTGGATCCTTTTTTTCCCTGTTTTGAACTTTCTCAGGCTCTCCTTCACCTTCATCAGCTGTTATAAAACTTTTTACAGGCTTAATCTGGTGGCCTAGTTTCCAGTAAGGTGTGTTGCATCTGGACTGAAGTATCGTTTCTTTCATCATAGTTTGTATCAACAGTGTGTTAAAATGCCTTGCATTTTCAATACAGATATACCAACTTGCATAACTTGTAGTTTGAAGAGCAAGTTTCTTTATGCAATGTATAGCCATCTGAAAGAAAATAAAAGGCAAATAATTATTGCTATATTTGTGGATTTGAACAAGTGGATTTTACACTGACATGTTTGTGCTGTGACTTTCTGCATCATTATTGTCAATACATACATTGAAGCATGTCACTTTCGTCAAGTTAATAACTGAAGTAAGCTGTTGCTGTCTGGCTGAGACCAGGTCAGAATTGTAAAATGCACCTGCATTGGTGTGAATAATAACTTTATGCACTGTTATTCAAATGCATGGCAAATGAAATATAATGTAGTTTAAATGATAGGTTATACACTTTGGTAAACGAGAAGGTGATTATTATCTGAATGGTGACAGAACGGGAAAGGGATGGGTGCAAAGAGACTTAGATGTCCTTGTACACCAGTCGCTCAACACAAGATTGCCAGTGCAACATGCAAATGGTAAGTTGGCCTTTGTAGCAAGAGGATTCAAGTACAGGAGCAGGGACATCTTGCTGCAATTGTACAGGGCCTTCGGACAGTCGGTGTGGATTCGATAGGCTGAAGGGCCTGCTTCCACACTGTAGGGATTCTATGATTCTAACCCTTTTCACTATTGCAATGTAGTCAGTTCTTTTAAAGATGCATCTCTGCTTCAAAATGGCACTGACCACCTTCCAATAATATGTGTTGTGCTGATCATTTAGTGATACTGCAAAATAGCTTTGGTCTGAAGAATGAAAAATGTTCAGATTTTGAGTGATATACAGGTATCTTGTTTTCTGTTAAGTATTTGGGATTCTTGGGGGAGGATGCACCCCTAATCTCACATCATTTGTATTATCTACAAAGCCAACTCATCACATTTAAAATTAATGTATCTTCAACTTCCACAATATTTTAGAATTCTAACGGTTGCTAAGCAGAGCTTTACACCTGCACTAATACACTGAGCACTTTATGTGGCTATATAATTATTGTTGCCTAGTAATAATGCTCTGAAAATCATTTTGCTTAAAACCATTTGGTGTCCTTTAACTGCCTCTTACATGATATGTAATTAGTAAAGACTTCCAGGCAGTCTATCCACAAATATCCCAGTCCCTAAAACAAGACACTGATAGGATTAGTAGTTTTGTTTGATTACAATTTCTAGAGTGTTCACATTCATTCATAAAAGTTTTCCCATCACTAGATAGCAACGTCTTTTGTGTCCATGATTGCAGTTGAATATACCTCAATTTTAAAAATTCTCAACATTGTTTGCAAGTCCTTGTCCCTTATTTCCTTCAATTCTATACACCTCCAGGATTCTGCGCACATACAATTCAGACGCATAAAGTAAAACTTAAGCTTAGAGGAAGAGGTTTTTGCTTAAGCCTAAACAAAACTCCCAATCCAGAAATTTCTAATAGTAATCTTGAGGTACAATTGTCTATCTTACTAAGTTGAAAAATCTTAAAATTGTAAATAAAAACCCATAAGACTGCTAATGTATCTCTCTCAAACTCTTTTAAAAAGAGATCACCATAGCTACAGAAATACACAAGCTTATCTTAGACTTCTACAGTTATCTTTCAATCAAAGTACATCACCTCACACTTCTCTGTACTGAGCCTCATCTACCTCCCACGCACCCACTTCACTAATGTTCTTTGAGAACAGTTTATAATTTTTCCAAGTTTAGTGTCATCTGGAAACTGTCCCCTGCACACCAAAATCCAGATCATATGTAAAAGACATTAAATTAATTTAAACTTTTTTTTTCCTTAATAAAGTTTGATTATGATCAATGAAGTTATAAGACAAGATCCTCAATTTTAAGAATGATCATTTATGGATCACTACTCCATTTGGACTTCAGTTCCTACTGTAACATTCCATTTCAGAATGGGCCAATAAAAAGAAACAGAACTGTCCAAATATATCAACTGACCCAGGATAACAACTTACAGTTACTGTAGATGTCAGTATATAAGCTGTCTTTGAAGCCTCCAAAAAGGTGGGGCATTATCCCCCACCTCTTCTTCCGCTACATCGATGACAGTATCAGCACTGCCTCGTGCTTCCACAAGGAGCTTGAACAGTTCATCAACTTTACTAACACCTTTTACCTCACCTGGACCATCTCTGATACCGCTCTCTCCTTCCTGGATCTCTCTGGTGACTGCCTCAAAATCAACATCTATTTCAAGCCCACCAACTCCCACAGCTATCTAGACTACACCTCTTCTCACCCACCTTCCTGCAAGAATGCAATCCCCTACTCCCAATTCCTCCGCGTCTGCTCCCAAGATGGGGCATTCCACTCCCGAGCATCCCAGATGTCCTCTTATTTCAAGGACTGCAACTTCGCCCCCTTCGATGGTTGAAAATGCTCTCAACCACATCTCTTGCGTTTCCCGCACCTCTGCCCTCACATCCCCTCCCTGCAACAAAAATAAACACAGAATCCTCCTTGTCCTCACATATCACCCTACTAACCTCCGCATTCAACATATCATTCTCTGCCACTCCCACCACCAGCAATCCGACCCCACAACCAAAGATACATTTCCCATCCCACCCCTATCTGCCAATCTCTCTGCACCTCCCTTGTCCGCTCCACACTCCCCACTAGCCCCACCACCACCGGCATCTTTTCCCTGCAACTGCAGGAAGTGCTACACCTCCCCCCTCACCTTCATTCAAGGCACAAAACAATCCTTCCACATTAGACAGAAGTTCACCTGCACATCGTCAATGCGGTCTATTGCATCCACTGCTCCCGATGTGGCCTCCTCTGCATCGGTGAGGCAAAGTGGAAGCTCGGATACCACTTTGTAGAGCACCTGCGCTCTTTCACGACAAACAACACCTTCCGGTCGCGAACCATTTCAACTCCCTCTCCCAATCCCTGGGTGACATATCCGTCCTGGGCCTCCTCCAGTGTCACAATGACACCACCTGGAAACTGGAGGAGCAGCACCTTATATTCCGCCTTGGGAGCCTACAACCCAATGGTCTCAAATGTGGACTTTACCTGTTTCAAAACCTCCCCACCCCCGGCCTCATCCCATGACCAACTCTCCCTCTCATCCCTGCCTCCTTGACCTGACACAACCTGACATAACCTGCCCATTTTCTCTCCCACCTATCCATCCTCCCACCTGACTAATCCCACCCACTCCCTACCTACACTCACTTATCACCATCCCACCTACCTTCCCCAGCCCCACCCCTCCTCTATTTATTTCTGAGCTCCCTTCCCCCTCCCCCATTTCTGAAGAAGGGTCCCGACCTGAAACGTCAACTTTCCTGCTCCTCTGATGCCGCCTGGCCTGCTGTGTTCCTCCAGTTCCACACTGTTATCTTTAAACAAGTGTTTTAAAGCCTGTCAAATATACTGTCTTTCGCAAAAAGTGTTCACGAATTTGAGTCACTTTGGCAATGGCATCATCCCAACATTCTATTCTGGACCAGCTGTTTCAGAATTATCCGTCCACAACATCTCACTGTACTATAAATCATTAAATTGATCATTCTGCATTTTGAAGGATCTGGTGACAGTTTGTACACTAATAGCATCCCACAATTTGATAGAACTGCAAAATACATCAATGAGGCAGCGCAGATTCTTGGTCCATTCTTGGTCAAACCATTTCCCTCCAACAACTGTCCACTTATGCCACTTGGCATTCACATGATCCTTGAATGGTTTGTTGAGGCACACAACCAAAGGTTGGACTACGGATGTTAAGATCTTCTGTATGATTCAGTCTGGGTGTTATTTCTTTGCCTCTTGACCTCCGTTATGGAATTTACACATGACCCACACTAATGAGCTGCGATCTTCACATTGGCCACTGGCTTGCCTTTCCATCCATTATCAATCTATAACTTCACTCAATTCTCAACCATTCAACTGTAATCATGGCACAAAATCTCCTGCAAGGAACTTTTGGCATGGTTTTACATTTGAAAATCATCAAGGGCTTCTAATGACCTTGGGCATCTTCTTCAGGGCGGATTCTTTCATCGATTCTTGCACCTGTTCATCACTAACACCAAATTCACCAAACAACATTTATTTATTGAGTTAGCAAATGTTGTGACTTCTAGCTTGAAACCAGCTTCGTACTTCATTCATTTTATTAGAAGACTCATTTAGCGTTTTCATTTGCCACACAGGAAGTATACTCTGTGGGCATATCTGAAACATTTGTACATCTTTGCAATACATATTGCCTGCTCAATTCCTTGTAGCCAGTTATAAGGTTAGTAAGAACAGACATTTGTGGAGTGGAAAGTCAAGGCTAATTATGAATGAAAGTATACCATGTCATGAAAAGGGGAGGGGTGGGAGTTGACTTATGCACTACATTTACCAAAAAAAAGGAAAAGTGTGTTTGCCTTTCTGCTGGGTTGACATGTACTCAGTAACCTATGATACAAAATGCCTTAACATAATCTGACAGCACTCACAGAGAGGTAGTAAGAAAACAACACAATTGTTTCTCTTTTAAAAAGCTCACCTGAACAATAAATGCTGCTTCCATTGTACTATAAATAGGATTCTGACTTGTATTCATACAATAAGATCAACACATTGCTCCAACGTACAAAAAAAACTGAAGACAAACCTATTGTAACAAGTCAAAAATAACGATCTGGAGCCTGAAATAGTATGACTTTCCGAAATCACTTTAATTACATTCAGTAAAAACCAAAAGAACGGCGGATGCTGTAAATCAGGAACAAAAACAAAGTTGCTGGAAAAGCTCAGCAGGTCTGGCAGCATCTGTGGAGGAGAAAACAGAGTTAACGTTTCGGGTCCGGTGACCCTTCCTAAGAACTGA